CTGGAAAAATGAAGAAACACCGTTGGAGGAAGAGACAATCAAGGAAATACTGGACTGTTCGGAAATGGACAGACTTACATTGAGGATCCAAGAAAAAGAAAACACAGAATATTTTCAAACATGGGACTTATTTAGAATAGAATAGAATAGAATAGAATAGAATAGAATAGAATAGAATAGAATAGAATAGAATAGAATAGAATAGAATATAGAATATCTATAGAGTAGAATATAGAATAGAAAAAGAAATAGAAAATAGAATATAATAGAATAGGAATAGAATAGAATAGAATAGAAAATAGAATGGAATGGAATGGATTAGAATTAGAATAGAATAGAATGGAATGGAATGGAATAGAATAGAATAAGGAATAGAAAATAGAATAAAATAGAATAGAATAGAATATGGAATAGAATAGAATATAGAAAAATAGTGGAATAGAATAGAATACAATACAATAGAAAAAGGAATAGAAAATAGAATAGAATGGAATGGAATGGATTAGAATTAGAATTAGAATAGAATAGAATAGAATAGAATAGAATAGAATAGAATAGAATAGAATAGAATAGAATAAGGAATAGAAAATAGAATAGAATAGGAATAGAATAGAATATAGAAAATTAGTGGAATAGAATAGAATACAATTGAACAGAAAAAGGAATAGAAAATAGAATAGAACAGAACGGACAGAACAGAACAGAATAGAATAGAATAGAATAGAAAAAGGAATAGAAAATAGAATAGAATAAGAATAGAACAGAATAGAGTAGAGTAGAATAGAAAACAGAATAGAAAACAGAATAGAATAAACAGATTGTAGAATAGAATGGAATGGAACGGAACGGAACAGAACAGAATAGAATAGAAAAAGGAATAGAAAATAGAACAGAATAAGAATAGAACAGAACAGAACAGATAGAATAGAATATGGAATAAAATAGAATATAGAAAATTAGTGGAATAGAATAGAGTACAATAGAATAGAAAAAGGAATAGAAAATAGAATAGGATGGGATGGGATAGGATAGGATAGATGGAAGGGACTTTGAAGGTCTTCTAGTCCAGCCCCCTGCTCAAACAGGAGACCCTATACCATTTCAGACAAGTGACTGTCTAGCTTCTACTTAAAAATCTCCAGGGACGGAGCGCCCACAATTTCTGGTGGCAGGCTGTTCCACTGGTTAATTGTCCTCACTGCCAGGAACTTTCTCCTTAATTCCAGGTTGCTTCTCTCTTTGATCAGTTTCCAACCATTGTTTCTCCTCCTTCCCTCTGGTGCTTTGGAGAATAATTTGACCCTCTCTTCTTCTTTGGGGCAGGCCCTCAGATACTGGAACTCTGCTATCCTGTCTCCCCTATTTCTTCTTTTCCTTAGACTAGCCAGACCCCAGTCCCGCAGCCGTTCTTCGCATGTTTTAGTCTCCAGGCCTTGGATCATCTTAGCTATTCAAGGCAGGAGTCTTTATAAAATCCCGGAGAAATGGCTGTCCAATCTTTTCTTAAAAATTTCAAGGGAGAATCTGACTTTTTTTTAAAAAAAAAAATCTTACTAGCAAGAAACCGAAGAGTCATTTGTCTGAAATGGTAGAGGGTCTCCTGGTTGAGCAAGGGGTTGGACTAGAAGACCTCCAAGGTCCCTTCCAGCTCTGTTCTGATTGATTGATTGATTGATTGATTGATTGATTGATTGAAGTAGCAAATTCCTGAAGAAAAAAAACAGCACAAAGACGCTTCACACAAGCGAACAGCATGAAAAGGAACATTTTTGGCGATGTTAGTAGGAAAAGGTAAGTTAACGAAGTGGTAAGATATTGGCAGGGGATGGAAGAGAGAAGAATTTGGCTCACGTAGGAAGTCCTCGGCTTACGACTCTCATTAGGAGCAGAATTTTAGTTGCTAAGCAGGGACAGTTGCTGAAGAGAGTTGCTTTAATGAGTCTTGGCTGATTTTACAACCTTTTTTGGCCACGGTTGTTAAGCAAATCACTCTGGTCGTTAAGTGAATCACATGGTCATTAAGTGCATCCAGCTTCTCCCCCCCCTTGTCGGAAACCCACTGTGAAGGCCACAAATGGTGCTCCCATGACCCTGGGATGCTGCAATCGTCATAAATACAGGTAGTCCTCATTTAGCGACCGTTTGAAGTTACGACGACACTGAAAAAAAGTGACTTATGACCGTTTTTCACACTTATGACCGTTGCAGCATCCCCACGGTCAGGTGATCAAAATTCAGACCCTTGGCAACTGACTCGTATTTATGACGGTCGCAGCATCCCCGGGGGGATCACATGATCCCCTTTTGCAATCTTTCAACAAGCAGTGGGAGGAAGCTGGATTCGCTTTATGACCGTGTTCCTAGCTTCACAACTGTGGCGATTCACTTAACAACAGCGTCAAGAAAGGTCGTAACGTGGGGCAAAACTCCCTTAACAAATGTCTTTCTTAACGACTGAAATTTAGGGCTCAGTTGTGCTCGTAAGTCGAGGACTACCTGTGCACGCCGGTGGCCAAGGATTTTGATCCTGTGACGTTGGGGGAAATGCTGTGATGGTCGTAAGTGTGAGAACGTCTTCAGCCACCTTTTCCGCTGTAACTGTGAACGGTCGCTAAACGAACAGTCATAAGTGGAGGACATTTCTGTATTGTGCTTTAGTCCTCTCCTGGGACCGCGTGGCTCATGGGTTTAGGACAGTGGTTCTCAACCTTTTTAATGCCGCGACCCCCAACCGGTCGTAAGTCGAGGACTACTCAACCGGTCGTAAGTCGAGGACTACTCAACTGGTGCAGCACCGTTTGCAGAATGGGACTTTTGGCGGGCTCAGCAGGGCAGAGACAGCCTGGACAATTCCTATGGGCTTTGGAAAGCCAATAGAATGAGACTCTATTCAAGAGAGTCTATTCTATTGGCTTTCGAAAGCCAATAGAATAAAAGGGAGTAGCACAGCTAAGGAAAAGGGGGGAAAAATGGCGGACTGCATTGTTTGGAGACCCCCGTGAAATGGTCGTTCGACCCCAAATGGGGTCCCAACCCACAGGTTGAGAACCGCTGGTTTAGGAAGTTGGTTGTTACTTTGCAGCCAAGTGAGAGGGGAATCACACCTAATTTTGCAACCTTGGCTGTTAAGTGAATCGTGCAGTTGTTAAGTGAATCTGGCTTCTCCCATTGGCTTGGCTAGTCGGAAGCTGCCTGGGAAGGTCACAAATGGTAATCACGTCTCACACACACACACACACACACACACACACACACACACTGAGATGCTGCAACCGTCGTAAATCCAGGCCAGCATCCAAAGCTTGATCACGTGACTAGTGAGGAAGTTGCAACGGTCGTAAGTGCGACGACCAGCCTTAAGCCATTTTTTTCCACTGCAGTCTTAACTCTGAATGGCTAAACGAGTCGTGGTAAGTCACGAACTAGCTGTATTAAGATCAGAGTGGCTGCATCCTGGTTAAGGCTTACGTACAGGGGGGTGGACTTTTAGGATGTTGGTTTTTAATTTGCAGCCGAGTGTTTTCAATGAGCTTGCATGCCCCTCTCGGCCCTTAGGAGTGCGACAGGTTCAACAAGTCAGCGGATAAATAAAAATAAAGAAGGGCGGCCCATCTCCCACACAGACACATAGACACACAACCCTCCCAGCTGACCCAGAACCCCCCAGGCAGCCTCCGATCTGCGCAATTAACGCCCTTTTTAATCATATTTTAATCTGTGTAGTTTTAACCTTTTCACTGGTTTGTCCTTATGTGATAACCTGCAAGCCGCCCACTTGTAGTGGGGATGGGGGCATGAAAAAAATAATACTCAACCCAGGTGATCCTCCACTTACAACAGTTCGTTTTAGTGACCATTCCAAGTGGCCACAGCAAAAAGGAAAAAAAAAAGGCGAATTGGGACCCTTTTTTCACACTTAGGACCGTCACAGCATCCGGTCGTGGGATCATCGCGGTCACGTCATCGAAATCCGGACGTTTGGCAACTGGCTCATAGTTACGACGGCTCCAGCATCCCCTGGGGTGATGCAATCCCCTTTTGCAACCTGACCAGTAAAGTCAAAGGGGGGGGGGGAGCCAGATTCACTTAACAGCTGATCCACTTAATGACAGTAGCAAAACCAAAAGAGCCGAGGTGGCGCAGCAGTTAGAGTGCAGTACTGCAGGCCACTTTAGCTGACTGTGTTCAGCAGGTCAGCGGTTCAAATCTCACCGGCTCAAGGTTGACTCAGCCTTCCATCCTTCCGGGGTAGGTAAAATGAGGACCCAGATTGTTGGGGGCAATGTAAATATATATATACATTGCTTACTGGTGTACACCGCTTAGAGAGTGCTTGCACTTAAAGCGGTATATAAGTCTCATAAATAAAAATAAATGGGGTAAAATTCACTGAGCGGCTGTCTCACTTAGCGACATAAATGTTGGGCTCAGCTGGTGGTCGTAAGCTGGGGGACTTGCCTGCAAATCATTCATAAATACCTGGATTTATTAATTGGTAAATTAATTATTAATCATAAATGGTCGCTCGTTAATAAACGCATGAATAAATAATGGGTTTTGCCTGAAGCCGAACGTCGCTCAAGAGGTGCCTCCTGAACCCATTTCGACATGCGATTACATCCACTCTCGCCCGAAGCTGCCGCTCTACCTGCGCAGGTGATATATACCTACCTGTGGCCAGGTACAGGGGACAGGCTGCCTTGCCAAAGGGAGGCGCCAGCCTGAAACGTCCTGCAAATTCGACAAGTGTCAACCTGAGATCTGCGCCTGTTGGCTTCGGGCGAGATTAGGAAGCGGAAAAAAACCCAACAAAAATGACTTGGAAAAAGAATTTAAAAAAACAACAAAAAAAGGCCCTTCTTGCTAATAACAATAACAAGGAGGGTTTTGTTGAGGATGTGACCCAGATGTGCCGGGGAGGAACTTTCAGTGAAATGGCCCAGTGAAACCACCAGGGGGCGCTGGGTGGCACCTGGTTTAAAAGGCAGAACAGATGTTGGCAGCTTCACTCTTTGCTCTGAATCCAGCCGCTGCGCTCGGGAGAAACGCCTGGATTACAAACCCCGAAGAAGAGCCTCCTGACTCAGCGCAGTCTCTCTGCTTTGAAAGAGCCCACCGGCTTTGCTCCAAGCTCCTTCTCCGGCCAGCCGCTGCCTTTCTCTCTCTCTCTCTTTCTCTCGCTTGCTCCAACTGGGTCCCGTGCCTCGCAGCTGCGTCGTGGAAGAAGGATGGCCAACGCGGGTCTCCAGATGTTGGGCTTCATCCTGGCCTTCATCGGCTGGATCGGCATCGTGGTCAGCACGGCCATGCCCCAGTGGAAGATCTCCTCCTACGCGGGGGACAACATTGTGACGGCCCAAGCCATCTACGAGGGCCTGTGGATGTCCTGCGTCATGCAAAGCACGGGGCAAATGCAGTGTAAAGTGTACGACTCCCTTCTCAAGTTGCCAGGTAAGCCTCCGCCGGGACGCCTTTCCTGGGATGGGTGGGTAGAAGAAGTGTGGCTGCCTTCACACCACACATTTGCTAGAGGTGCTGAACGAGCCCACTTTCTGGGCTCCAACAGTGCCATCCCTCCGCTTTTAGTTCGCCAAACTAGCCCCCTTCGCACAACCTCTACAGAATGCAGGACCAACCTGGGGTCTGCTTGGATCTTCAAACTCGGTGCAAGGGCTAGATCTTCTCGGCGTGAATGTGTGGGGTGAACCCTCTGGGTGAGGGTCTCTTTGGGTGAGTCAAAAGACCCTCAGATAAAAGAGAATATTTGTCCATTTGAATGTGTGCTGCTGAATCTTTCCGTAGTTAAGTTTAACTTTCCAAAGTTTTAAGTTTGCGAGTTCTCCAGCCAGGGCTCATCCCGTTCTAGTTTGCCACAGCCAATAGTTAAATTTTCTGAAATTCCGCGGGTGGGTTGACCACTATGAAAAACACAAGCGTTCCGAAGACATAGAGCCCACCCGCGAAATTTCTGCGTATGTGAATCCGCCTCTTCCAGAGGCAAAAGTTTTACGCAACTGGGGAAAAAAAGTCTCTGTAATTATCTTCTTCGTAATATTCCTCCAGTGACGCATTCGTGTCATGCAATCGTTTTCCAGTATCGAAGGCTCGCAGGCTGACATGCAACGGCACGTAGGGACTGAGCAACGGGGAACTTCTGCTCTCACAAAATGCAGAACCCTTGATAGATCTGGAAATGCAACATTTGACAGTCAGAGTGACAGTTAAGCATCACATTCGAAGTTCACACGTTGCATTGATTAAATCCGAATCGTAAGAGCGCACGCTTTTGAAAAGTAAATGCTGCTGGCAACGGGAAAGGCCAAATTAAATTCATGGTGGTGAATTGACAAAGGCACACTGTTGCGTTTTGTTTCATCCAAAGATACACTCCCTGGAGTCACAACACAGCACTGCTAAACTTGGGTTAAGACAGTGAAAGCAATAAAGTATTATTCAGAAATTTCTAATGAATATATATCTATATATCTATATATCTATATATCTATATATCTATATCTATCTATCTATATATATATATTATCTAAGTATTGACAGGTACAAATGTGAAAAGCAGAAGTTGCTAGCTAACTGAAATTGCAACCAGAGGAAATATCGAAATAACTATAGGAGACGAACTGTATTAACAGAAAGATGGTGAAAGATAAGATATGGAAAAAGGGGCTTCTGGATAGTTTATCGGATGATTAGGGAAGGGGTTGAGTGTGATAGGATGGGGAGGGGGGGAATCTGTGTCGGAGGTAGGATATAAAAATGTGTCAAAACAGCTCTTTAAGGTGTGGCTGAACTCCTGTGTGTGTGTGTTTCAGTCCACCAGGCCTTTGCAACCGCTTTATTTTGAACAAATCTTTGTGGCTGGAATTCCAAGTAAGTTTGTTTGTTTGTTTGTTTGTTTTGGGATCTTGAGCCACGTTCCAAACAAACAGGGTTGTGTAGTTTGGGATGTAGTTCGGGTATGACTGAATTAGAGGTTGTTTCTCTGTTTGTTTGTCGGGCTTTTTGCAAAGGATTAGAAACCTGGAATCGTTTTTTGTGAAGCCTCGTGCGTGATTCTGCCCGTTGCTTGAACGGAGCAGAACATCTGCCTAGGACTGAATTTGGACTTGTCTGTTTGTTTGGCCACCGCAAAGGATAGAAGCGTCGCAAGCCGTGGTTTGTGAAGCCCAATGCATGATTCTGCACGCTGTGTGAACGGAGAAATACTTCTTTGGCTTGCTTTGCAAAAGATGGTTTTCCATTCGGTGGGCAGGGACCCCCCCCCCAAAAGATACTTCCTTCTTATTTCTGGTCCTTTTCCCACACGCAAGAGAAACAGGGACGTGGTTGTAAAGAAACACACTGTGTGTGCTTATGAGTCTCTAGGAATCTCTAAGGCAGTGGCTCTCAACCTTTTTAATGCCGCGACCCCCAACCGGTCGTAAGTCGAGGACTACTCAACCGGTCGTAAGTCGAGGACTACTCAACTGGTACAGCACCGTTTGCAGAATGGGACTTTTGGCGGGCTCAGCAGGGCAGAGACAGCCTGGACAATTCCTCTTGGCTTTTGAAAGCCAATACAATTAGACCCTATTCAAGAGAGTCTATTCTATTGGCTTTCAAAAGCCAATAGAATAAAAGGGAGGAGCACAGCTAAGGAAAAGGGGGGGGGGGAAATGGCGGACTGCGTTGTTTGGCGACCCCCATGAAATGGTCGTTTGACCCCAAATGGGGTCCCGACCCACAGGTTGAGAACCTCTGATCTAAGGAGATTCTCCATCATCCACTCCCCCCCCCCACAAAAGGTAATTGGTGTTTCTAGGACTTTTTTTTCCTTGAAAACATTTTGTTTCTCATCCAAGAAGCTTCTTCAATTCTTGTAAACATCTGTGTATTGAACTGAACCCCAAGAAAATCTAGTTGCCTTTTGGAAAAAAAAAAAGCACCGTTAGGAGTCTTGGTGAAGTTATTCCCAAAAGTTTTAAAACTCCTGTCTGGCAGCCCCTCTTGCATTATGAGACCTTACTTCAAATCAGTGAAAAGGGTAGCAAGGCAGGGTTAGCTCCAGAAACGGAATCAATCAATCAGTATCAATCAGGGGTAGGCAACCTTGGCTCTTTTATGACTCGTGGACTTTAACTCCCAGAATTCCTGAGCCAGCCATGCTGAGGGGAAAGGGAGAGGTTTCCAAGCTGAGCCATGCTGGCTCCGGGAATTCTGGGAGTTGAAGTCCGCAAGTCATGAGGGGGCCCTAGTTTCCCCATGCTGGCTGAGGAATTCTGGGAGTTGAAGTCCGCAAGTCATGAAGGGGCCATAGTTCCCCTGTGCTGGCTGAGGAATTCTGGGAGTTGAAGTCCACCAGTCATGAAGGGGCCATAGTTCCCCTGTGCTGGCTCAGGAATTCTGGGAGCTGAAGTCCAGGAGTCATAAAAGAGCCAAGGTTGCCTACCCCTGGTATAAATCAATAAATTTAAAAAGAAGAAAGCAGGCGTGCGATAGGCAAGTCAAAACATGTGAGAGAAAGGGCTAGGCCACGATTCTGTATGGGTCTCCTGCCGGAGCAGGGGGTTGGACTAGAAGACCTCCAGGGTCCCTTCTGGCTCTGTTATTCTCTGATTCTGTAAGGGTCTACTGTTTGAGCAGGGGGTTGGACTAGAAGACCTCCAGGGTCCCTTCTGGCTCTGTTATTCTCTGATTCTGTAAGGGTGTACTGTTTGAGCAGGGGGTTGGACTAGAAGACCTCCAGGGTCCCTCCTGGCTCTGTTATTCTCTGATTCTGTAAGGGTCTACTGTTTGAGCAGGGGGTTGGACTAGAAGACCTCCAGGGTCCTTCCTGGCTCTTTACGCGGGCTCCCAAAGGGAGGTCGCAAATTGGAATTTGGAATTTGAAACGCTCCATTTGGAAACACGAACGAAAGAAACCAAACGGAACAAGGGGCGTCGCCTTTTTTATCCGCACGGCTGGCATCCGGGACCTGGTGGGAATCTGGTGCCGTTTGGTTGGCGTTGGGAAAGGATGAGGAGGAGGAGAGCACAATGGTTATCTTTGCTTAAGGGGGGGGGACAGCTGATCATCTGCCTCCCCCCCCAAAAGGACAAGGAAGATCTATTGATTTATTTATTTTGCTCTGAGTTCACACGAGCTGCTCTCGATGTAGCCAAAATTTTTCAAACTCGGCAACTCTGAGATGGATCGGCTTCAGTGCCGGCTGGGGGAATTATAGAAGTCAAAGTCTCCTTAAATACACCTTAAACTCTTTATTTATTTGTATATCGCCTGCGTCGTTTTTTACAAATGACTCAAGGAGACAACACGTCTAATGTTCCTTCCTTCTCCCATTTTCTCCAGCCCAACAGCCCTGTGAGGTGGGCGGAGCTGAGAAAGAGCAACTAGCCCCAAAGTCACCCAGCCGGCTTTCGTGCCTAAGGCGGGACTAGAACTCACCGTCTCCTGGTGATTGGCCCAAAGTCACCCAGCCAGTTTTCGTGCCTAAGGCGGGACTAGAACTCACTGTCTCCTGGTGATTGGCCCAAAGTCACCCAGCCAGCTTTCATGCCTAAGGCGGGACTAGAACTCACTGTCTCCTGGTGATTGGCCCAAGGTCACCTAGCTGGCTTTCATGCCTAAGGCGGGACTAGAACTCACTGTCTCCTAGTGATTGGCCCAAGATCACCCAGCTGGCTTTCGTGCCTAAGGCGGGACTAGAACTCACCGTCTCCCAGTGATTGGCCCAAAGTCACCCAGCCAGCTTTCGTGCCTAAGGCGGGACTAGAACTCACTGTCTCCTAGTGATTGGCCCAAGGTCACCTAGCTGGCTTTCATGCCTAAGGCGGGACTAGAACTCACCGTCTCCTGGTGATTGGCCCAAAGTCACACAACCAGCTTTCGTGCCTAAGGTGGGACTAGAACTCACCGTCTCCTAGTGATTGGCCCAAGATCACCTAGCCAGCTTTCATGCCTAAGGCGGGACTAGAACTCACCGTCTCCTGGTGATTGATTCAAAGTTAGCCTGTCAGCTTTCACGGCTAAGGGCGGGACTAGATCTCACCATCTCCTAGTGACTGGCCCAAAGTCACCCGGCTGACTTTCATGTCTAGTGCAGGATTTGAACTCATGGTCTCTCGCAAACTGTGCTGGGTAGAGATTTCTGGGAGTTGCAGTCCACCCCTCTTAACGTTGCCAAGTTTGAGAAACACTCAGTTAACTGAAACTGCTGGTTTAAGAGCGAAAGCTGACTAGTCAACTTTGAAGGTTCATGCTGAAACCAAATTCAGTTCTTTTTCTCTCCCTCACCTTAAAGCTGGACTTGGCATTTTTTTGTTTTTTGTTTTTATCGGTTGCATTCTTTCCCCCCCCCTCCTTTCTCTGATGTGTGCAATTCTAAGCTGTGTGCAATTCTAAGCTGTGTGCAATTTTCGGTGTCTTCTTTGAAATAGCTTCGTAAATCTTCCCGAAC